TTTGGAAGGGAAAGTCAATAATTTGATGCAGTCGTCTGAGCTTCCTGATAAATAGAAAACCTTCTTCTAACACATTTTAAAGTGACTCTAACCACAGGGTGTTTTCTATTACCAAGAATGCATATAAATAAATTTGAGTGTGACTTATTTATTGGATTAAATTCATTATTTAAATTGTGGAGCTTTGATACAAATCCAAGAGGACTGTTGTATTTAGGTGTTATGTTAGTGAGCAAAAAAAGTTTCTGCTTCAAGTACTTAACCTTTTGTAGACTTTGTGTTTATAATGAAAACCATTGCCCTGAGAACTCAGACTGTAAAACATACCTGCATGTTTATGAGTGAATTCTTGCTCCCTCTGAATCACCCAATTATATTTAAATGTATGACTCAGCATAAACAAGCCACACAACTCTTTGTGCAGAGATAAAAGTTGTCCATGCACAAACAAACAAAGAATAATATGAATAGACAGTTTCTGAACTTGGGCATGATGCAGTTAGAGATGCAGTCAAGCATATATTTTTTTGTTGTCCCTCTAGGACCAGACAGCCATGTATTGAGTTATATTTGCACATTTTTATAGATAACTGAATTCTATATCTTACGTCATTCATGTGAAATGCATTGTCTTGCTTGTTTCTTTCTCTTTTTTTTTTTAATGTGTAAACCAAATCAAAATGTTTAACTTCCAGAAGAAATTATGGTACAAAATTCCACATACATCCAGCCAGCAGCTGCAACCACATAATGGACCAACGAAACTAAGGATGTAAAAGTCATTACATCTAACATCATGATCAAGATGCGGCCAAACAATGATCCGCAACGTAACAACCACTTGAGAGAAGTCAATCAAAAATAACATTCGAATTTAACCCTCTCCAGAGCGATGTTGCAGATTTACAACAGCTAAATGCTACTTTAGTTAGTCTTTGCAAGTAATTTGAGTCTGAGAGGGTTAAAAAAGCTCAATGTCTGTCAAAATAAACCAACTGGGAGATGAAGGAAGCTTTGACCATTACTCTAAATAGTACTAAGAAAACTGAGAGCACACGTTGCAGAGCTGAAATTTGTTGCACAGGCAAGATTCTCTCCCATCATTTTACAATCAGGTTTAAGAAGCAGTGATTTTAAAGTGGAACGGGCGACATCTTGGTCAACAAGCAAGTAATTGGGAACACTGATTCACTTCATGTAAAAACGTTCTGAAAATTAAATGTCGAGTGAAAGCAAACCGTTTACCTGACTGTGCATTTGAAAGTGTATTTGGCATATAACAGGTGTACTCAGAGACTTTGAGGGAACTGTTTGTGCAGCCTTGTGTAGCTGAAGCCCCTCACCTCATTAACTCACAGTCTGTAAGCAAATGAAGCTGAACTTTATCCCGGTTGGGGAAGCACAGCAGAGAATTAATTCTGCGTTAAAGAAAATAGAATGTAGGTTCACCTTCTGTTCCTTTGCTAAGTAGAAAGGGCAGAAGTGAGAAATTTTCCTCTGTGGAATTAATTAAAAATCCTCTGAGCCCCTTATAGACCCCGTCACAGGCAATTCATCATTCCTTGTTAGTAATGGGATGTAAGACAGATGCGTGTGTGAGAGCCGCTCTAACAAATAGAACAGTTTCTCCAATCATGTAGTAAGACACTGGCCAAAATTTATTTCAATTAAGTGCTATATATCACATGAGGACTTTTAATTTTCCTCATGAAAACTGAAGTCAAATGAGTTTTTGCAAATGAGTCATTTTAACTTCCGTCCTTGTTTCGAAAGTCTCCATGAATGTGTTAATTAAAACTTTCAAAGAACACCATATTGAACTCCAATAAAGTGGGAGAAAAAAAACTGAATATTACTGTCATAGACGTAGGGAAATATTTAGTTTTGCAAGTTTGTTGAGGTGGTTTGGATAATGCTTTACTTTATGAACCAGTTAGCTTTTCAAGTCTAAGATGTTTAACCAAGAAACTTGTTTCAGATAGGAAATGACACAGGCATTGATTGAGTGATAAAACAGCAGATAGAAAATAGCAGATAGAAGATAGCAGATAGAAAAGCAGTGGGGACTGGTAAAAAAAAAAAAGTCTTGGCGTAGCTGATGTGATACTAGACAGAACATACTTAATTCACAGAAAATAACATAAAGGGTTAAATAAGAACAATCTTTTTTTAAAATATATAGAATTAAATGTTCATTTACTGTCACTGAATCTGACTCAAAACTGTGAAAAATTGCAACTACAGTAGCTTATTTCTACTAAAGCATAAATAAATGACAGCATCTCTTACAATTTAAATGACTGGCTGAAATAATTCACCCTCAAATCAAATATTCTGATCTCTCTTTGACAGTCATTCAGACTAAAATCGAAACATTCATGTCCAGTTTCTTTATGTCAGTCAGAAAGTAAAACGGGTCCTCCTTCAAACATCACACGAAAACAAACAAAAGCATCAAATACACATATTTTGCTCCTGAAGTAATAAAAACACTCAACTCACTTCACTGACAATATCCCTCTGAAGTATTACAGACAGCATGTTCTATTGAATGCCAGAGAGTGTCGAACCGCTGAACTGTGGATTAATACTGTGGTGTGTGTGCAGTCTGGCTGAATTGGTTCCTTTCAAAATGTCCCTCAGGACTGTAAACCTCACTGCCGAGTCTTTGTTCTCTCATCCTACTAACACCTGAAAAAAAATCTACAATCTCAAGACATCTATCTAAGTAAGACACAGAAAAATAGTCTATATTTTTGGTTAGAAAGATTTTTTGTCTGTTTGTGTTCATACAAGCATCCAGACGGCAACGAAATAAAACATGACGGCCAACACTTAACTAAAACAATAAATAAATAAACACTGCTCAATTCATGACCTGCACCAGTACAGGAAATAGCAATAGTATGCACACTGAACAGACCACTGGGACGGAGAGGAGGAGGTATCGCCAGGGAGTCTGGCGAGAGGTGATTCATCTTTTTCTTAAGCAAATACGGCACTATTGCATTTCTCATGTCTATTAACATGCTTCACATCATGATCTAAAACCATCCCTTGAATGTTTGCGATGGTCCTGCTGAAAGATCTGGAGGTGTTTGCAGCCTCAACAATTCTCTTCCCACGCTGACCAGCATGAAAACCTGAAGAAGATAAAAAATCCCACAGGATTATACCGTTCAAGTATGTTCTGATCTTCTTCTGCATATTTATTACTTCCACTCTGACTTGTGACAAACTAAAAACACAACTTTTTTTGTCTTTTTTTCAACAATTGTTTTATTTGGACCACTCTTCTATAAGGACCGGATTTATGGAGAACACAGAAAATAGACAAGTGAGAGCTGGGTTTTATTCAGGTAAACAGAATACAAGAGGAGAAACACATGTACTGTACACTTCACTTTTCATTGAAAAAGACCAAACATCTCTTTTCCTTAACTTCACAACTTTGCTACTTTGTGTTGACCTATCAGAGAAAAACTCCTTTAATTTTGTCACTCTAACATGTATGATGAGGAAAAAGTTTGATATGCAAACTTCTACGTGTAAGAAATTTCACTTTAGAATAACAGCTGTTCATAAATTACTTCACAGGTTTCCAGTTTGTACATAGAAAGATTTTAGTGATCTGTAAGACAAATGTTATTGGACTTGAATAGATCAGTTGTCTGTAAAGAACTTCCTAGATCCCTGATGTCACCACAGACCAGATTAGCCAGCGTACCCAGACCATGATGATGGCAGTTTCAATGTTACTAAACTCCCTGGAAATTAGAAATTTGTAAAACAATAAAATAAAATAATAACGCTATAAAAAAGCCGGAAAAATATATATTTTTAAAGACCTATTGTCTAAGTCTGATTATGTAAATTTCCTTTTTTGGTAAACTGTAAAAGTACAAGATAAGCAAAATTCTAGATTAAAATATTTTACAGTTTTGTTGTTTTTGGTCTCTCAGAACTTTTTTATTTTGTTGGTGAGCATAACAAAAATTGTGAAAGTGCAAATTTAAAATTTAAGTATTTCTGAATAAAATATATATATATATATATATATATATATATATATATATATATATATATATATATATATATATATATATATATATATATATATAAACTGGAGAAATACCAGGGCCTCAGGGAAGAACTGGAGAGGGCCTGGAAGGTGAAGACCACAGTGGTGCCTGTGGTCATCGGGGCCCTCGGGGCAGTAACCCCCAAACTGGAGCAGTGGCTACAACAGATCCCAGGAACAACATCAGACATCTCAGTCCAGAAATGTGCAGTCCTTGGCACAGCCAAGATACTGCAGAACCCTCAAACTCCCAGGCCTCTGGTAGAGGACCCGAGCTCAGAGGATAAGAACCACCTGCGGTGGGTGAGAAGGGAATATTATATATATATATATATATATATATATATATATATATATATATATATATATATATATATATATATATATATATATATATATATATATATATATATATATATATATATATGTATATATATATATATATATATATATATATATATATATATATATATATATATATATATATATATATATATATATATATAAATTAATTATTATTAATACAGGAAAGAAAGAAACCCTGATTGAAAACATTCTAGTTTCAAGTTAGGTGTAAAGATAATTGTATCACTTTTTCTGTTTTGGTTTTTCTGTTTTACCTTTTTGCTTCTTTTTAGGGGGAATGCATTTTAATGTGATTTATCATATAGCCTATGTATCATTTTTTTAATAAACCAGTGTGACACTGATGAGTTGATTTCACTCAGTCCAATTTGTCAAACCTTTAATCACGATTTTAATTCTCGAAAACTTCCTCTGCGTAAGCAGCAAAGTTCAACGTGACGCGCATGACCTCACCCTACTCTGCAATGACGTCACTTTGCGTCGTATTTCTATTTTTACTCTACCAAAGCTTTGGGATGCACCAGCAGTTTGAAACAGCCGGGGAGGGAAAATAGTGGGGTATTGAAAAGTCTTAAAAGGTAAAGACAGAATCCTTTTGCGCTCTTTTTAAGTTTGCCTCTCATTATGCGCAAATGCGCAGCAAAACAGACATGAAACGTGATTCCAGCAGCGTGATGCACTGGGTTGCAACTACCGCAGCGCGCCAAGGAAAAAGCCCTTCAGTTCTGACCCCGTTGATGGGAAATGCGCATCCAGATTCTCTCACATGACCAGAACGAGCAACTCCTCAAATAGTTCACGGGGCTGAAAAGACCGAGCGATTTGCTGGAGACATTTATATCTTGGAGACGGTAAGCATGGTTGGGACTCCTGGCCGTCGTGACTTGTGGCAGTCTGAATGAAGACTGCGGATGCGCTCTTTCCAAGTCTGGATATTCAGGCGGAGGCACCATGGACGCGGCGGACGTAGTTGCTTCTTTGGTGATTTTGGGGATTATCGTCGTGTCGCTGCTCTCCAACGTCGTAGTGCTGATCTGTTTTCTCTACAACCCGGAGATCCGCAAGCAGGTGCCCGCTCTCTTCATCCTCAACTTGTCGTTCTGCAACCTGTTGCAGAGCGTGTCCAACATGCCTCTAACTTTGGTCGGGCTCGTCACTTCGGGGCACCCCGGGGGCAGCGGCTTCTGTCAGATCGTGGGTTTCCTCGACACTTTCCTCACCACGAACTCAATGCTCAGCATGGCAGCGCTCAGCATCGATAGGTGGGTGGCGGTGGTGTTCCCGCTGAGCTACCACTCGCGCATACGCCACCGGGATGCGGTCCTGGCGCTGGCGTACACCTGGACACACTCGATGTGCTTCTCCGCGGTGGCCACCTGCCGCTCCTGGCTCGGTTACAACCACCTTTACGCGTCTTGCACGCTCTGCAGCGTCCGGGCAAAGGCGGCTGGGAAACAGTTCGTTGTTTTCACTGTGGCTTTGCATTGTCTCACATTCCTCCTCACGCTGATTGTGATGTGCGTAACCTATCTGAAAGTGCTAAAAGTTGCAAGGTCTCACTGCAAGCGCATCGACGTGATCACGATGCAGACGTTGGTGCTGCTGGTGGATATTCACCCCAGGTAGAATTATCTATCTATCTATCTATCTATCTATCTATCTATCTATCTATCTATCTATCTATCTATCTATCTATCTATCTATCTATCTATCTATCTATCTATCTATCTATCTATCTATCTATCTATCTATCTATCTATCTATCTATCTATCTATCTATCTATCTATCTATCTATCTATCTATCTATCTATCTATCTATCTGAAATGAAATGAAAATATATTTATCCACAAAATAATGTAATATTATTTAGATATTTACTGACATTATTGTACATATATTGTATGTGTTCATATTATTAGATAAATGTATGGAAATGTTGATATGCAAAAAAAAAAAAAAAAAGATACTTGCAAAATGTATACATGTATTTACTTAGGTGCTATTTTCTTGTTCTGTGTGACAGCCATATGCAGTTCATTAAGTCTCAACCTGAGTGAGCCCAACAACCAAACACAAGTCCTCTCCCCAGAGAAGCTTATCTGCAAAAAAAGAGAAAAGAATAGAAAAGGAAACTTTGCAACTTAACCAAAGCATTAAGAGTTAATATTGTATTAACAGATTTGAATAGAGGTATTAATGCAGGTCCAGTTTTAAGAATGTTTTTGACAGATTTTTTTCATGGTGTTTCCAAATTGTCTGTAATCTCTGTGCAATGATCCATTCAGTCACTCTAAAGCGGTTCAAATACAATAAAAGCATTGAGAATCCTCTTAGTTGTATATTCACAGAGCTGCAGTCGCTAAGTAATATGCTGAATTAAACTCCTTCAGCTAACTTTAACAGTGATTCATAGTTAAATCATAAAATAATACGTAATATTTTTTCAACTCCACAGGTCACACCACCCTGGACAGAATGACAAATTACCCGCATCGAAGCTAGTCAGTCATTACAGCCTGACATTAATCTATTTTATCTCAGCCTTTTGCGTCAGAGCCAGTGTTTCGGGTTAAAATGCTAAAAAGATGGTGATTTGTCTTCAGTGAAGTTACGGTGCATCTTAACCATTCAGGTCCTTGAATCTATCTGATGAACAACGGCCAATTTAAACAACTTCTTCATAAAATGCAGCACATGATATATGAAATCATAAATACATAATAATAATAACATCTTAATTTATATGACTTTAACATATAGTTTATTCAAATCTTAGATCGGTTGATTGACTTCAACTGTGTATTTCAAAAACTATTGACAAATGATTAGAATTCTAAAAAAAAAAAAAAAAAGAAACATTTGGTGTGTCACTTATAACTATGGATTCCTGGATAAAATATATATTTAAGCTAAGCTCAAGTGTCAGTTCCAAGTATTTTTTGTTTTGTTTTTCTGTTTAAAATTCTTCCATGGTGTCTGCATGTTTCTTGTCATTGTTCTTGAAGTGGTGACGTTGCCTGTGTTGCCTTGGCAGTGTTCGCCAGAAATGCCTGGAGGAGCAGAAGCGCAGGAGGCAGAGGGCCACCAAGAAGATCAGTACATTTATCGGCACATTTGTGGTCTGTTTCACACCTTACGTCATTACAAGGTAAGCTGAAATCTCTGCCGCCTTCTAGGGAGGATTTTGAGTGGGTGACTGTGTGGGTGTTTATTGCATGGACGTTCTTATTGAACATCTGAAATAAATTAGACTTTCTGGCTGAGTTACAATCAATAGAATGATCACTTTCAGAGTTTCCAGTGACATTCAAAACATTTAGGCTGTCACATCTTCATTATGTCCCAGTTTGCAATGGATTAGAAACATAATGCTTCTCATTATGTTTCTCCTCTATAAGAGATGAGAAACATAATGTTATTTGACCATCGACGGTGGTTTCCACTCCTGTGCAGTGGTTTGAGAGGCTTAAATTGATTTTGTTATTTGCTCTATGCTGACTTAAAACAACAGCTAATTTTAATTATCAGGGATTTCAGAAAAAAACAAAGTCAACTTCTGAACTGAAGCTATGACAGAATATTTCTTATATATTACTACCTGTGTATTTCTTCTTTCTGCATTTTGCCTTTCAGACTCTATAGTGTGTTGTAAAAATATTTATAATTCCTGAACTTTTCCACATGCTGTCATGTCATAGCCACAAACTGTAATGTATGTCAAAAGAATTTTGTACACATTTTTATTTTATTTAGGTCTAATGTTGAACTGGACTCACACAAATGTATATGAAGTCATTTTAGTGTAGCATTAGCTGTATGTTAAGGGATGAATTTTGCATGTTAACGTTTCATTGTGGTCTCTTGTGTTTGCTGTGTCTCCTGAAAGACTATAGAAAGCTCATGGCTCTCTTTCAACAATGACATCTGTCTTCTAACTCTACCATAGAGACCAGATTTGCCAGATTAATGCTATTCTTGGTCAAGTTTTGGTAGGTTTGGACTTATGCCATGGGAGATGGCCTGAACAAATCTCTGTCCAAAGATTAAAACAGATCTAAGCCTGTTTGAATCTTCTGCACAAATGAATTCCTGACATGTCAGGTTTTTATGAAGTTATTTGATTTTTAGTGCTCCTTAAATTACTTAGGACTTCACAGAGCATCTTTATTTATGCTGATGAACTTAAATAAGTTTGAACTGCACATGTTTTCTAATAATTAGTAAAGACTTTCTTTTGTTTAGGGGTTTCAGAGCATATGGAGTTAAATACAAATATGTGCCAACACAGTCAAAAACCGTGTGTCATTTTTACATACACGTCACAATTAATTCCTTCAATTTGTTCTTTGACCTAAAATTGCAATAAATACATTAATTTGTGTTTGTAACATGGCAAAAAAGTTCAAAGGTTAAAAGTATTTACACCATAATTTTGTGACTTTTCTATCCTTTTTTGTTTTGTTTTTCTTTTTTTGCTGTAGAATTGTAGAGCTCTTCTCCCCAGGGCCAATAAACCCTCACTGGGGTGTCTTCTCCAAATGCCTGGCCTACAGCAAGGCAGCCAGTGACCCGTTTGTCTACTCACTGCTGCGTTACCAGTACAGGAAGACCTGCAGCCTGCTGGCCAATAAAGCTCTCAAGAGGAGTTCTCTGAACTCCTCCTCCTTCAGGGTAGAAAACAAAGCTAGGACTACTGCAGCCAATTCCAACGCAACGGTCAGTATCCAAGCACCAACTAACAAACCACTCGGCCAATGAAGGCGATCATATGCAGAGATGTATATCCACCTCAAGTCGGCCGATTGACCTCTTTGTAGCATCAGAGCTCAAAATGTGTGCCTCTCAGTTGTTCGCCGGGGAACAAGGCTGGTAAAACTCTATATCTATTTTTATAGGCAAAATAGGTTCATGAAAACATCTGAGGCAAACGTGTTGTGTCTCTTTATAATGCCTGACTCACTGAGCTGTGCATTTGTTTCTGCACAGGGCATAATATTTTCAAAAGTAGGTCACAAAAAAAAAAAAAAAAAAACACAACACCTTTTTTTATTATAGTCACAGTTGTCTTTCTTATTGGTTGCCGGTTAGAAAACCTTGCCAGGTCTTACATAGATGTATATACACAGACGCCCACACTCGCACACCTTACAACCTCCGATCTATGGGCAAAAATGCTTCATCGTGTCAATTTTATTTTCACACTGTCAAGAGGACAGTCTGTAGAATACAATACTACGTTAACTCAATGTATTGCCATGAGGAAGTTCTTTTGTCCATGTCTTGATCACAGTGTGGAATGTGTGCATGTGGTGCTTATGTGTATGCATGTATATGTAAAAACATGCATACCAATTTCTGATGTTTTAATGCTATCTGCAATTTTAGCTCTGAAAACAAGTGTAGCTCTTTAACTTATGCATAGATTATCATGGCATTACTTTCTCAATAGCTTAGTAGCCTCATTTCAAATTTACTCCAAGTGAAAATAGTATAAAGAATGCAACACTTTCACTCAAGGACAGGGTGCCTTTTATGGTAACTACAGGGTTTACATCCCCCATTGCTCTAATGTTACAGAGATGAACTCTACAGGAGTATTTTCTTGTACCATAGTGGCTCTTATGTACTTTGCAGTCTGAAAATACACTGATTAGTCCAACACATATATAACTGTGTTAAATTCATTTTTACCTCAGTAACGATTTATTATTATGATGTTGGAGAATTTGCTGTCCATAGAAAGTACAGCAGTGGTATTGTGCACTAAACTGAGGGTTTTTATTGAAACCTCTGTATATTGTGACTGTAAGGTGTAACTTATGAAGTGCCTTTTAGATGATGAATTCTAGTTTAATCAAAACACAACAGATCGGACCTTATAAATACTTTCTCAGTATTTTGTTGTTTGGTTGAATACCGTATTTTGTGATGCAACCTCATTGTTGAAATCAGAGCTCCTTCTACACTGGATGATTCTCCTGTTCAATACTTGTGAAAAGCCTTTATCATAATCTTTTGATAAATTATCTTTAGTGTAGATTAAAACTTCTCATATTATAATTTTTTGAACAAAAACACTGGTGTTATACTTATTGACCTCTTTTGTCAATAGTCCTTTGCCATACTTCACATGAAGTATGACGTGCTTTCCCACACTATACTGCAATACTTCTAACAGTGAGCTATTTTTCCCTTACCATCCCGCCTCAATGCGTGGAAAGAAATGTTTTCTTTTCCCGTTTTTTAGGAGTAGCTAAGATAAATAGGTCTCAGTGTCATGTCATTTGTAAACAATAAGCTATTTTCATTTCTCATTGAAAATAGAGCAATGAACCTTTGACCTTTGACAGTTTTCTGGCAAATATCATCCAATTTTTATCTAAAATGTCCTGGTATTTTTGGGATTCCTTGCAGTTTATTAAGCTTCCCTCGCCTGTGAGATGAGAAACCAGGCCTCGAAGAGTCTTAGTAGGGTGCTTTTCCACACTTTGCTGCAATTAACTTCAGATTTTTTATTTTTTTTTTCACTTGGCTTACTATTCTTCTCCCTGTGTGTGGAATGTTCTCCTGTTTTTCCATTTTTAAGGAAAAGCAAAGGAAAACAAGCTTCAGCATCACCTCCTGCTCTTCGAAAACAAAACATAATGATGGATAAATTAACTTTAAGCAACATCAATAAAAATCTAATTGGAAAAAAAAAAAAAACATTGGGGCAGGGGGATTCTGATAAATGTGGCACTGGTGTGTTCGTTAAAAACAAAACCAAAAAATTTGTATTTTTTAAAAAGTGAAAAGGATGTGCTGACAGTAGTTTTTTCAGTGTAATTGTTCACTGTTGCAATACAAGATGAATATATCTGAAGCCTTCTTACAAGTCTTCAACAGGGGTGTCAATAAGTGTGCAAGTTCTGTATGATGAAATGTCTTTTGACTGTGGTAGCAACTAGAGTAAGTGACATTCCAGCTCAAGCATCTCAAGAGGGGCTGAGTTATATCTATAATGTAAAAAGGTAGTTATTTTTGACAACACTGGGAAAACAGCATGTTGTTACTGTGACAGTATGGCACCTTTAAAAAGGCTTGAAAGCTATTTATTTTTGTCTGACTGTGTCTGATATTTTGCTAAATGCATTGGTGATAATGATACAATAAATGCTGTGCATTTTGATATTTTAAAAGCTCGGTGGTTTTCTTTTATAAGTTTATGTATTTTTATTGTAACTTTGTCATTTTAATGATGGACAAGAGAAAGGGATAGCTTTAATGAATTTCAGCAATGCATTACTTACACATAAGTGTGCCGAGGTCTCTTCTCTCCCACGCTGATTAAGTTTAAGAACAAAATAATTTAATAATTACCACTGTTAACTTGGCAGCAGAACAAAGCCTTTTCACAGAACCATTATGATTCAAAGCTAAACGCTTTTTAATTACAGAACAGCTAGCAAGCTAAAAATAAACACAGCTAAGAAAGCCAGGCAGAGGTAAGCACAGGGATTTTCATTTATTTATTTATTTTTTGTGGTTATGCATATAAAGCATCATTTTTATATACTCTGCATAAATAAAATGTAATTACATTAAAATATAAAGTGATACTTGTCAGAAGTCACACCTGCCTCCAGTAATTCTTATTACTGGGTAAAAACTCAGCTGTTCCTTTGCAGAGCACACCAACGGAGAGCAATTAGCAGAAACTATCCAGAAAGTTTGAAAGGATCCCCTGCCTGGAGGTGTGCGTAGAAGACATTTCCCTCAGAGACTCAGCGTGTGGGTGAGAAGCAGACGAAAATCTGCCATACATAAAACGCTGCGCCCTTATCATTAAGGCGCGGAGTGTGGGAAGCACAAGAAACCGAAGGAGTAAGGAAACTAAGATGAGAGCGGAGGTTTACTTCCTGGCACCTGAACAACGAGATTTTACCCCTTACATAAAGTATATAAAAGGTCTCTGAGGATCAATGTAATCTTTAAGCAGAAATCAATGGGAGTTTTACACTTCGGTTTACTAAAGGGTTAGACTTCATTAGGGATTAGTGCAGTCTCTACAACCTTGTGTATTTGGGTTAACATGATTTAAAAAAAAAGTGTCAGAGTGGAGCTTCAGAAGGCCTGTTTTTTTCTGCACAAATCAAAACGCTCTTACTTAAAATTTATGTAAAGTGACTGATTTGTTATGCAGTTAAAATTTCAGTCTGAACAACATAAGCAGCAACGACTTGCTTTTACAGCTATTTGATATGTGTGCTTTCAAATTAGCTCAGTGAAAAATAAATTGGCAGTCAGATCTCCAGAGTAATTGGAGTCAGTCATGTGCAGCATCTTCCTTTAATCAGTGGCAGCAACACTGAACTCAAATGTGTTACAAATCCTCCTCCACACAGACAACACCGAGCAGCGTGATCGCTTTAACGATGCTCTCCCATCTGAACTTCCAGCAGAACACTTCTGCAGGTTTGCTCATTAAACAGGAATAAGTTTCATTCTACATGAGATAAAGCATCACAAATAACCTGGCCTCTATAAAATGCGCAGCTATTGTAAATACACAACACTGCAAGGCTCCTCGCTTGCCTGTCTTGTTTTCGTTCACGTGATCCTTGAACATCCAGGATATCTTCCAGTAAACATAATGGATCAACCGCTCTCAAATAATCTGAATTATGGGAATGTTAAACTCAAATGTCATAGCTCCCCCGTGCCCTCGAGCAAACAGGCTGAGACTGCATACAGATTGCCCAAATAAAGACCATCTATTTTCATCCAGGAATGCTGCATCTTAGATTGTTTTTCTTGCCTTACTCCCTTGCTGCAGTGATTTAGGGGTAGCACTTGCCTGCACAAACAAAAACCGATGGATCATTTATTTAATCAGAATGCTGACTTATTGCATTCTGATTGCAGATTGCAATAATTCAATTTCAGCAATTTCTTAGTTTTCAGAAATTGCTGTTTCAAAACTTGTGACCCATTTGGTGGGTTACAGAAGAGACTCATACTGCCAATTTGAACAGCAGAATAATCTGATTAAACTTCACTAAAGTTCCTCTACATACTGAATTAAGTAAGGACGAGATGGCGTGCGGACCCTGTACAATAGTGTTAACATCAAAGAATTGTGTGTGTGTGTGTGTGTGGGTGTCACAACTTTAGTTAACAGTAAAAACTATTTTATTCTACTGCACGAGGAAACATTAGGGAATCTTTGTAGTTTACATACTTCAGTGAGTCTTTGTTGCCCATTACCCTGTGACCCTTCCTTCCTTGGACCATGTAGATACTGATCACTACACCTCGGGAACACGTCACAAGAGGTGCCGTTTTATAGTTGTTGAGTCGTCACAGCATGGCTTTCAGAACAAAATGTCCACTTCCCCCTAACATGCATCGTATACTTCAAGGTCTACAAAATGAGAAGCCATTAATGTTTTTTATCTCACCTGTCCGTGGTCACAGTGTTATACCTGATCTGTAATTTTTCCATCCATATTAAATCATCTATGAATGCATGTTTTAACAGAATTAACCTAAAATTAAAATAATTCACAGGTTCACTGTAAAGCAGGTTTTTGCTGAGTTGAAGCACCTTGAAAATTCCCCTGTTCATCATAGGGGGGAATCACCAAATAAACCAAATCAGGTTGTGAGAGAGTAGTGGAGAATACATCATTCACTAATTAATAACTTTCATTAATTAGTGAATATTGTTAATATTCTGCAAGTGTAAACAGTGAAGGAGAAGTGATATCATGTGTAATCACGGAGAAAGCCTGCACCACATGTCTACTCAGTAGAAATGTCAGGCAAATATTGCACTGGTTGCATGGCAGGTGTGTTACACTCCAGCCATCTGTTTAGGAAGTGTGTCAAGGTAAGCTTTGTTTCAGGAGTTTGTTCTTCTGAATCAGTGATGAAGGGATGAGGCTCAATGTCTTTACAAGCATCTGGGCACTGGATCGCCTGTCATTCCTCTGATCAATGTCTTTGTGCTGCTGGTGCAGCCAGGAGGCACCGGCTCTCCGTGTTTTCAGGCGGAATGGCGTTACTTTGTCGAGTAGGCACCTGCCTGGCTATTGTGAATTTCTTCTGACAGTAGGTGACATAGATATTGTTTTGTAGATGTTTTCTGACTCAAAAGCTGAGTTGGTAACTAGGTATTGCTTGCAACCCAGAAGGTGTTGTCTAACCTTGATGGAGGTCTTATGCCTTCCTCTGTGGATGAACATGATCTGTGGCCTCATCAGGGTGCTGATTGACTCATAGTTACTCACCGTTTGACTGACCAGTGCGACTTTTGTAATGTTTAGATATTTTGTTTGGCTACTACTCTTTACAAGCATCTACTGATGTTTACATGTGATTATTATTGTCATTATTTACTCTTTAACTTTGTTATCTTAACTGTATTCATGATGGATAATTTTAATATCCTTTTTTTAGTCACTTATTAATTCATTTTTAAAATTGATGGAAAACTATTTAAACTCAGATCTGAGGTATTTAGATCAATTCACTTTTTTTTCGTTTTTGTTCAAAGAGAAAACCATTTTATGTCAGAAAACCTGAGGACTGTATTTGGCAGATGAAGACTTTTTTGGGAGTGCTTTAAATCCACATTCCCTGATTTTTAAATCAACTGTTGAATATTGGAATAACTACATCACTTTGTGGCAGCAGCAGAGTAACGCTGCTCTGAATCACAGAGAAAATATCTGTGCAAGAATGAGATTAAATGAAATTCTGATACCGTGAAAGCCATGATAAAGAATGAATTTCTCAAAAAACTGACATATCATAGCAATGTTCAAGCCTTGTAAGTAAATGTGCCAAAATAAATCTATTGTTTCAGTACAATTTCTGCTGTTTTGCTGTTAGAAGGTGTTATGCAAACCTTAGTTTAGCAAGACTAATGTAAGTCAGGGTAACTGATTTATCATTTGAAGAACTTGTTGCTAACAATAAAATAAATTTTTATGGCAAATTCAACTCCATGTTGAGAGAATTTTGTCAGATGTTGTGAAATAATAGATTGGTGTTTCTGCCAGCTGTTCGGAGAGCTTTGCTTCCGCTGCGTAATGAGAGCAGGATGTTTGTGGCTTCAGTCTTTAGAGTGAGTCATCTCCAACCACCTGCTTAATGGCCAGGAAATACAGCAATGGGGAAAATCGTGGCGTGTGTGTTACCTAGAAGAAAAACAGGAAAAGCTTTATCAAAAGTGACCACAGACAACATTGTATCTGAACCACCAAAATCTTTAATGGTAAGGTCGTTCATGTAGTTCGTCTTTTAGATGATTTCAGTAAAAACAATTAAAACAAAGCAGTTTTACCTGTTTTTTCATAAATGTGAAAGAGTACGCACTGTATAGAAACATGCTTCTATGGTTTCTCCTAGTTTTCTTATCCAGTGTTACATCGGCTGCTTTGAAAAGTTTAATATTAGCAACTGATGATGTTTTTGTAAACAAGTGCAGCTTTACAACTCAGCGATATCCTAATCCAATCCCAGATTAAAATCCAGCACCTACATGCATTCAGACTGCTTCTATAAGCATTTTGGAATGATTGAGTTCAGTGGATTTCATGGCACGACGATGTTACACCTGTATAATAAGTCCAGTTTCGATAGACGACTCGAATATGTTTTTCGCATATAAGGAAGTGAGAAGACGGACCATAATCTCTGACTTGAAAGGTGATGAACTGCTTCTTGAGTTCATCAGGAAGATTTGCAGCTTAAAAAGGGCACCCAAATTTGTCTATTCATTTTCAAACCTTTTCAACCATTTCATAAGAGACTTACAAAATTTGACCTAAAAACCCCATTAGTTTCATTGTTGGTGCTCCAAGTCTTAAACTTATCTAAATCCTGTGATGCCCAGCACAACAAATTCTGTCTTGGATGTCTGAATCTTTACTGACCTTCATGTCTCCAGTTTGCATGCTGCCCTTGTTTTCCCATCCTGCCAAGTATACAAAGCACATATTCAGACTTGTGCCTCCCTCTGCACCCTGCAGCTCTGCATACAAACTCCCAGCACGCTCCAAAATGGGTCAGTTTGTGCTGAAATAATTAATTTTCTGGGGGCATTTATGAGATAATTGTCATATTGATTTTAACCTGGAGCAGTCA